AGTGAAGGGCTGGGAGAAGAACAAGAACCATTGTTTGTTCCAGTTAAAATGTAAAGAAAAAGCAAGCAACAAAAGAGAAAGTGGATGCCACCACAGTCGAAGTCATGAACCTTGTTAAAGCAACCATTGAAAACGACCCAAATAAACAACTGATCAGCTTTATGAGGGAGGAAGTGGGAAAATTCCGTGAACACGAATTTAAGTTATTTCAACTAATGTTATTTCAAAGAGAAAATGGCATGATACAAATATTGTGAAGGACCATGCATGACAGGGTTGTAGCACAGACTTGGTCTCAGAATCATCTGCTGAAACTAATTATTCGAGTCGACTCGAATATGTATTAGGTTCAAAATGAAAAGTTCGACGTTTGAAACGGGCCTAAAACAACGTAAAGTATCCTTGGTTTGTATCCAAACATATCAATAATGATCTATCACTAATACTTAAACATGTTGTCTTGATCCTTAGAGCAATTTTGATATGGGGAAACAATGCGAAGAAGGTGAGCTGACTAACATAGCTGGCGAAAATTTTCAACTAGCCTCGTTCAGCCAGAGCATATCAAAATATTAGAGGCTGGCCGCTGTGGTACAGCTCAAGAGAAAATCATCTCCAGACTGTTTTTCGAAATCAGCGACGTTCTAATTAGATATTAGTGCCTTAAAAAGACGGTTTTTCATCTAAGAGTGTCGTGGATTGAGGGAAAAATGAGGAAAGACTTCTTGTTATAGCTAATCGTTAACACATGACAACATTTATCTCTGTTTACAGACAGTAGAGTGGTTATTTCTTCATTCGCGTAAATCCAGATTAAAACAAAGAAAGAAGAAACAACAAACAACCGCTAAGAGACGAAAGAAAGTAATTTTTAACTTACAAAAACAAGAAGAGTAAAGGCAAAAACGACAACAAAAATGCCAAAAGGGAAAAGAAGAAATAAAAAAACCAGACAAAAACGGAAACAGAGAAGAAAGACATTGCATCGACCTTACACAGTTCAAAGTCCAATTATTACTAGGCTGAATGCGTTCTAAAAGGAAAAAAAATTGTTAGTCTTATCTGTATTTTTCAATTTACGAACGTTTTCATTCTGGAAGCAGTTTCGAAAGATGTCTAATTTTGATGATTTAGAAATCCGCTGTCTTAGGTTTTTGAGATCGGAGGTATATCTTTAGAATGGTAGGAGTTTTCTTCCCTGATGCACTTGTGTCGTTAACGAAATCAGTTGATCTTTATAACTTCATTCATGTATCCATGACTCAAAGCCAGGGCCACCAATTGGTGGATGTTCACCCTAATAAGGTCTGAGGAGCTTATTTTGAGTTTATCATGGGTAATAATTTGTGGAAAGTATATAGCACGTTTGTCACATGCAGCAAGACTTCCTCTGGTGTCTAATGGCTCAGTGATGAAGCATCTAAAAATCTAAAGTAGATCTTGAAGTTCATTCTATGACTCAAAATTCCACATTTCTTTTTGCTCAGCATGGTTTTGAATGAGAGCATTTGTTGAATTCCGCGTACGGTCTCAAGAAGGATCGAAATGATCGAGAGAACCGAAAATATATACTCCAAAATTACAAAATTATCAAATCATGATAATTTCAGCCGTGGTCTATCATCAGATAATCTACGATAAAAGAAATGTTTAGGGACGACTCATTATTTGTAACGGTGGGGGGGGGAGGGGGAAGGGGGGATTAGAGGATTTTGATTGTGTCGCAACAAAATTTACCTGATTTCCCAACCCTGTAGTACTCTAATGACTCCCTTTCGCTAGCCTTTCACTGTACCCCCCACCAATCCCCTTTGAAAACCATGTGATCACCTCAAAATCATCCACCCCTTACCCCTTAAGATAAATTCTTCTGTCAATTCTGTCTTCCATTAACTTTTTCACTTTTCTGTACCTGTATTTAGACATAGACGAATGCATCAACAATCCTTGCCATTCAGGAACATGCAAGAACAGCCCTGGGAGCTACAAATGCACTTGTCCTCCAGAATGGGAAGGAAAAGATTGTCTGAGTAAGCCACTTAATAAATTTTGCATGGATACCAATGCACAACCTAGTGTTGTAATGATTGAATTTGTCCCGTCTGTTGACAAGATTTCCGTTGGTTGAATTAATGTAATCTGGTCTCGGACGACAGCATACCTTTGCTACGAGTATACAATAGCACTCATTAGAAATGCCACATAATTTATGTGTATCTCACGCTCGCAAAAGGAAAAACTTTCTGCGAAAGAGTCCATCGATGTCTAACTGTAGTCAGTCTACATTTTTTTTTCTTGAAAAAAAAAAGATAATGAAAAGAAGAGTGCAAATATTCCCTGCCTAAAGATGATTGAAATGCGAAAAAGTAAACTATACTTTTCTTAAATTATTTCCAAATGCACTGTAAAGTCAGTTATTTTGCCCACTCAGCTACAAACTTATGACTTTCTCGGCAACTCGAATGGGAACAGTAAGAAAACGTGGTTCACTTAAAGTTTCTGCTTTGGTTTTAGGCCTTTTTGTTTTTATTTTTATAGCTCATCAGCCACGTTTCATATAAAATACAGCCTTTTGAGCGAGATTCGATACTGTGACGTCCGTGATATGATTTTTGACGTACATATGAAGACAACTGTCGACTAAGCCATTTGTGCATTGATTTTGATTTGTTGCAGCAAGAAACTACTGCCACGGGCATAAATGTTTAAACGGAGCCACTTGCCAAAATGGAAAAAATAATTACACCTGTCAGTGCGTCGAGGGGAGCTCTGGAATGTACTGTGAAACTGGTCAGTATAGCTCAAACGCATGTATTGTATAGTATATGATGTATGAAGTTTACCACATAGCGAAAATCACGAAAAGAAGTTTTAATTTTTGAAATATTTTTATTTTTATTTTAGTTAATGACTGATGGAAATACTGAATATAAAATAAATAAAGTTATCGTATCGTATCGAACACGTGATAAGAATGATACAAGCACCAATTTTAATAATTTATTCAACTTTCCAAACACCCCACAATCTAAGTAATAATGTAAATAATATAAATAACCTGATATTGTGATGATATCCACCACAACTTCCCAACCACCCCTAGGAAACATGAAATGGTCCTTCCCTATTCAGATTGATCAAATTGCAACCCTTAAAATAATTAAATCTAAAAAATTATCCCTCGACATGAAATCTTGATAATCTAATCATCTTTGAGAAAAGTCAATTTTTACCGTCCGGGGGTGGGGGGGGGTGGAGTGGGGGGGGAGGTGAAGGAATCTTTTGGCGGGGGAGAGGATACATGGTTTTCATGGGGAACGGAGGGGATATCAGTCGTCGTCAACAAAGTATAAAGGAAGGAGGACAGAGTAAAAAGGGGGGAGGGGGAGGGTCATAGTAATACTGCGAATCAATTATGAAGGGATCAGGTAAGTTTTGTCATGAGGGAACCAAAATTCTCCAGCCCCACCCCTCCTCTGAATGACTAATGGCGATAAATAATGGTCGTAGGAGATAATTTATTTTCTCCTACCGTTCCCTTGATTCAGATATAGTGAACGAATGCTTAAGCAACCCATGCCTAAAAGGGACGTGTCAAGATCTGATTGGACATTACAGCTGTGTCTGTCCCTTTGACCGAAAGGGAGCCAGATGTGGAAGTAAGACATACTCCAGGATAATATAGTACCATCGACTGAGCTAATAACATAAATATATCAAGAAAGCATCCAAACCAGTCGTTAAACACTTTCATCTCCCTAATCATTCTAGGAAGCTTATGGCAATTTGCGGCCTTTCCCTACATATATATAGTTCAAAATAACTAAAATGAAACACGCATGATTCTCTGTTACTCTGAGTTTCGTGCTTACGCACTCGTCAGACAGATTCAATGAAAAACATTCTTGTAGGCTAATTTATATATATAAAAAAGGTAGCTGCTGATTACAATAGGTTTTTGTAATATAATAGGTGAGAAAAAGCGAAAATTACAATGGATGTGGGTGTATTAATGAAGGACAATAGGGAAGTAGGTGTGGATATATTGACGAAAGTCTATTGTCGCAGGGAGGCGTCAGATGTTCTTTAGATAAAACTTGTTTTCGTGACGACATTTAGATAAAAGTTCGGATCTTTTATTCAGAAAGTTGTTGCTGTTGGACGTAATAAATAAAATTATTATTTATGTACACTAACAGCACTGAACTATTCAAATACATCTGGCAACTGAAGGACAACTCTGTAAACTTCAACATAAAATGGTCCATTATTGCAAGAGCCAGGCCCTACAACAACACAACGAAAAGATGCGACCTTTGCCTGACCGTAAAAGTCCAACAGCAACAACAGAGTAACATAGAATCATGCGTGCTTCATTTTAGTTATTTTGAACTGTATTTCGCTCTACACTCACGTGTGTTGAGCACTTTCCTAGAGCATTTGGTATAATTTCTCACAATTATATGTATATATATATATATATATTTATATATGAAAATGGGAGGGCCCATCCTAAATTGACGGCTTGACGGAAAGTGACACTGTTTAAAGTGAGATAAAAGATACAGAGTGATATTTGTGAGACCATTCTTAAGCCCCTCATAATGCCTCGCTGTCATTTGATTTTGTAATGGTAAAGAAGAATGGTGATGGTATTTATGCTGAACGACTACGATGGACTTCATGTGACTACTTAATCTCTTTTCAATTTCTGAAAAACTGTCTCGTGCTACCTTTAAGCGCAAAATTGGTTACAATACAAGGCTAGGTTGTTCAAAACCGACCAGTATTAATCTAGAATTAGAAGTTAAGCTGGGTTTGTGTCTTGTATCAGGTTGGAGACTTCCTAAGTAATGTTTTCAGGCAAAACTGAAGGTAAGAACTGCCCACAAATGAACATGGCTGAATGAAATGCGGTAACCTAACCCAGGGCCAATTATCTATGCAAACCAGCTAAGAGGTAAAGAGATGAAAGTACGTTTATGCTTGCATAGATCGTGTCAACGACTGCTTCGACAACCCTATTGGTGTTGCCAATCCCAACGTGATCTCTAATCAGCAGATGAAAGCGTCTTCCCACTTAGATGAATCTCATCAGGCCTCTCATGGTCGGCTAAACGGGACAGGTTGGTGTGCGGGAAATGCTAGCTCCCAGGACTGGCTTCAGATTGATTTCAATCGAACAATCGATGTTTGTGCTGTTGCAACACAAGGAGGTGCAAACGGCTGGATGACCAAATTCAGGCTGTTATTCTCAAATAATGGAAGACAGTGGGTACCTTACGAACAAGAAGATGGCTCCATTATGGTATGGTGATTTAATGACTGAGTGGATTGTAAAGAGCTCTAGAAAAGAAAAAAATTATCATAAGTATGATTATTCTGGCTGGCGGCTGCATAACTGGTTACTTCACTAGAAAGTTTATGACAAGAGGTATTATAAAAAGTCGCAATAACCTGCGATAACCGTAAGTAATAAATGACCCTACCAGCATATAGGACTCATGGCATATAAGAACCTCGTTATGACCTGAATCATCGTAAGAGTTTCCATTTGCATTACTTGGTTGAGAGGGTAAGACCAAATCCTTCCATGAGAGCCATTCTGATGAACACTGATTTGCCGTGATGACTTACTTAGTGCTGCAGACAATTCAACTTCACTGTCTGAATACATTCATATATATACTCTCTTTCTTGTCAAATTTTACAGTATAGCAATAAAAATTAGCTAATACCTTCAAGGAATGAAAGCGTTAACCAAATAAAGACAATGATCGTTTATAAAAATATTAATGAATAATCACTCATCACTTTCATTTAATCTTTCCTTTTGTTCCGAAGCATTTTGACAGGTCGGGCAAAAATGTTACAATTGACCAACACAAGCTTCCAAAGACAGTGTCTGCAAGGCATGTTCGCTTTATTCCAAATTTGCAGCATGTCTGGAATTGCCTAAAAGTGGAGGTTTATGGATTTGATGGTAAGTATGTCATCTTCTTGACATTTTCAATGACGTAGAAGTACTAGTTTTAGTAGTAGTGGTAGTGCTAATAGTAATAGTAGTGGTGGTAGTAGTAGTAGTAGTAGTTGTAGTAGTTGTAATTGTAGAGTGCTAGTAGTTGCAGTATTAATAGTTGTAGTGGTACAGTTCGAATAAGTTGTATCAGACGCAGCAGTAGTAGTGATAGTAGTATTCTCATCTTACCCACCGTCAAATTCAGTCAGGTTTGAGACAAAAGTAAACAATACACAATAAAAATCCTTAAAATCTGATTGATTTATTGTTACTATTATTGCTGTGCATTTCAATACTGACCTGGTAATTTTGGAAGAATTTCCTTTGGAGATTCTTTAGCCCAACTTGTGACACATTTCAGAGAATAGAACAGCCATAGCGAAATCTATTGGGGAGATAGTTAGTCAAAATAACCTTTTGTTTATAGAATCTCGGAAGGTTTTAGAGAAGTATTCGATCGATTTCAAATTTTGAAAAGTTAAGTACTCAGATGCGAGGCCGTTTATGGCACCTCTCCGTTTAGTGGTTGATAAATAAGGTAAACTGGGTATTTGAAACAAGCAAATGATAAATTCATTTATAAAATTTTCTGCCTCGAATACTGCATTTTTAGTGTTCAGATTGGTCTGATGAACGCCGGTTCTCAAATCATATTCAGGGTCACTTTATATGGATTTGTATCGCGCCAACTGTCGAGGAGCTGAAAAAGGCTCCAAATATTCAAGCATTAAGGAGTGAATGAAATTAAATGAAAACATTATTCTGTCCGCGCCTGTTGGAGATAAGATTAGTGAAAGCCAATTCGACGCTAGACGCCTTGTTGGCTATTTACCATCTCATATCCAACGCACGCCCATGGGATAATTGTTACTTAATCCATAGACCCTGCTATGACGCACGTTCATGAAATAATTGTTATTTAATCCATAGACCCCTGCTATAATCATGATGTGCTAAGTCAGGCGAAAAGGAAGAAAACCTTCGAGGGTGCTGGCGGCCAATGTGACCGAAAAATTTTACCTTCTGAAAAAAAATGGTTCCGTTTTGTCGAACCAGCTGGTACTCAAATGCCAACTGCCTGTGTTCCTCTATCTCACTGCAATGCTGATAGACCCGGATGGCTGGATGGACATCACCCTAATGTGACGCAAGGTGTAGTAAACATGAGGGTTTGCTTTACTTCTGAGAACGACTGCTGTGGTGATCAGATATTTATATCGGTCAAGAATTGTGGCGACTTTTTTGCATATGGACTGGTAAAACCAAGGAGTTGTGGACGATATTGCGGAGAATAAACATTCGCTGTGCTTTAGCAGCCAAAGAAAGAAAACGAGACAGGGGGAAGGTTGGCAAAAATGTACTGTGAAAAGGAAGCATGCTCCCAAAAGGAGGGTCTCGCTAGGGTGATGGCTTTTTCTGCTAACGGTTGAACTTTTGGCCATTTTACGGCTAATAGATCATTTGACACGGCTCACGTTTCTTACAATTAACGGTTAGCATCTCATTTGTATGCCAAGCGGCTTAATTTTCCCAGTTTACGGCTCACGTTTAATCCCATTGAAGCCGCCTTAGAAGGTATTGCGCCACCTTCTCCGTCAAAACATTTTCGCACAATAATGAAACTGCACGTCTTTTAAGCTTCGCAAAAAATTTCTACCTTGATAAAATTTGCTTTCTAAAAAGTGGCAAAAAATTTAGTATTGTTCACCGCCATTTTGAACCTTGCTTAGCAACATGACCGCCTACCAATAGTAGTTTCTTGTAACAGAGTGTTACATTCTATTTCCTTCTATGATAGACCTTTAAACAAACAAACAAACAAGCAAATGAATGAATAAGTTGATTTACTAATGTAGTTCATGTCCCGATAGTTACAACCAAATAATTGAATTGTTTTCAAATTGGGGGCTTCGGGGTGTTGAACTTTGGTGCTTTTGAAGACAAATTTCGAAAGTGTGTGTCATATGCAACAAATTTACGACAGCCTATAGGTAGATTTTATCACATAATTCTAAACACAAAGACAATCCGATTGAAATAAAGCTTTCTTGAAAAGAGTTACCTTTATGACGTTTAAATCGATGCTTTTGATGTAAAACGTTTTGACTATTCTTGGGTTAATAAAGCGCTTCGTAGCGTTAGACTCAGTCTTTTATTCGCACTTAGTGAGCTCATGTTGTAGAGCGCTGGACTCCCGTGCGGAAGGTTGAGGGTTCAAGCCCCAGACCGGACTAACACTCATGGTCTTGAAATAACTGAGGAGAACTTTTAGTCTTTGTTAGAACCATTGAGAAATGGTAAGACACTCTAGCCTTCTCGGAGAGGACGATAAACCTTTAGCCGTCCCTAAGGACGATAAACCTTTGACCCCGTTCCCTTAACCTTAACCCTTTGTAATTGTTGAAGGGTGCACTTCTCGCAGAGAGTAGGAAACGTTGTTCTTAGTGTCAGCTCCCACTCCCATTTAAACTAGCTCTAAAGCAGAACAGAACCAGCCTGTTTAAATGTCGCAATAAATCACCAATTATTTTTTTAAAAATTGACCATTCCACGGCGGACGTCAGAGCCTCTGTTCAATGTTGGAGAGAGAAATTTCTCAAAAAAAGAAACCTAATTCATTACAATTCTATGAAAATGTGTCAATAGGCATAAACAATTGTAAACGTAAACGTGCTCGGTCGTAACGCTTGCGCGCTTGCGTGACTTACAAAGTAAGGAAGGGGTCGGAAAGCGCCTTCTCGATAATTTTCGTTGAAATGTAACGTCATGAACAACGCACAGTGTGGAAAAGATCAAAATTAAAGAATAAAATTTGGCACTCTGGTTATTACAGACGTATTGCATGGCTTAAAAGGACACGCAAACAAGTTAAAATACATCACAGTATTATTTACGAAACAACGCGCAACACTCAGAAAGAATTATTGAAGTTTCTCCCGAGATATAGCGCACGGAACGCGATGAAATAGCCTTCCTTTCTGCAAATTTGCTTCCATCGTTAATGATTTTACGCTGTCATGGACCAAAACTCTATTGAACGACAAACTCGACATTTCCCTGCGACCATCAAACCCAGCGTGATGCATTGCGTGACGTAATTATGCTAATTTTTTCATGTCATATGATCTGTTTCGCGGGTTATTTTAAGTGAACCCAAATTTAGCTGATATAACGAATTAGAATAAAAGGTCATCATCTTTTATAATGTTTACTTGATTCACGGAAAGCAAAGATTGTAATCGCTGCGGGTATTTCAGCCCTGAATTCTCTCCTGGACTGCCGGGTGACTTTTGGAGTCATTTGAACTATAAGAAGCTATTAAACGAAATCCTCAAGCACGAGTTAATCTAGTTTCGTTCCGATCATTCTAGCCTCGAAACAGAAATTGGTATGGTCTAATTAAACATCGGAACTCTTTGGTCTTATTTCAACTACTAGCTCCGTAGTGTTCATAGCCGCGAGGATCTCTTATATTCGTTTCTTCACCGCAGCGCATATATATGATTTTCATATATCTACAATCATTATTCTTTGGGAAACATTGGAAATGCGGTGAAAGTACTTGTTGACACCCAGTCACGTGGGAAAATGTAAAACAGTGAAGAGGGACAGAGTGTTTAACGCCATTTGTCGTAAAAGCTGCCAGCAGATTGTTATTGAACTGACCTTAATTTACTATGAAGGTATTAACTTTCTTTTGTTGCGAACCACGTGTCCTAACCCCTTTTCGTGGGCAAAAAAAAAACTTTTTTTTCGACGGGAAGTCGAGGGAACTACTTTGGTTCCAATTCCCAACGGATTAAAGCAATTTTAATCAACGTCTTAACAACAACAACAACATTTATTTAAACACGATAAAAATTACAGCAGAGCTGATGTGGTCGTGTATTTTGCACTCATATTTCGGAAATAGCTTCATAATAGGAACGGGGAAGAAGTTATAAAAACAGTCGTGTGCTAACATGAATAATCTATATTCGTATAAACCTTTAACAGTGGGCCACTTGAGAATAAAATACGTCTGCAGACGTGTCAAGTTTGAAGAACCAAGCAATGGCTTTGCTTTGGTGGGTCATGTCTTTGTGAATATTACGTTAATCACTAGAGCACACATGAATAACCACCACAAAAATCAATGTATCATGGAAAAAAGGTGTCGATCGATCAACATAGAAATACAAGTCTCGATGGTAAACGAAGCAGTACTATTGGAGCCATTCATTATACTCGATTAAAATGTCAAAAAAATGCTGATATGGTCATAGTCTTGGCTGGATGACAAATGTGAAAAAAAACTATAAAATGAGAAACTTTGACAAAACTTTAGACTCAAAGGTAGAATGAAAACTATGAGTATACAAGGTTCCATCTAACAACTTATATCATCTTTCTTACAGAAACCAAAATAGCAAAAGCAAAAAAAAAGTTAAAAAGGAAAAATTTAGCTTAGCTACAACGATATCAAGTACCCGTGGCTTGCATCCAAACATATCAATTATGATATATGACTAATAGGAAAATATGTTGTTTTAATCCTCAGGAAAATTGTGATATGGCGATGAAATGCGAAGCAAGTAAGCTCAATAACATAGCTTGGCGACATTTTTCAATAAACCTCCTTAGGCCAGTGTATTTCAGAGTGTGAGAGGCTGGTTCAGGTCAAGAGAAATCAGTTGCTGGCTGGTTTTCCAAATCAGCAATATTTCAATCGATAACAATGCCTGAGAAATACAGTTTTTCATCTTGGACTATTGTTAATTTTAAAAAGTGATGACAGATTTCTTGTTCCAGCTAACCTGTAACGCATGAAAACATTTTTTCTCTCCAGTCATTAACGTTGGTCATAGCAGTGAAAGTTACAGCCACAGTGGCAATAGCAGTAGCAGTAGCAGCAGCAGTAGCAGTGGCAGTGGGAATGGCGGTGGTAGTAGCGATGGCGGTGGCGATGGCGGTGGTGATGGCGTTGGCGGTGACGGTGGTGATGGCGCTGGTGATGGTGGTGGTGATGGCCGTGGCGGTGGCGTTGGTGATGCCGGTGGTGATGGTGGTGGTGATGGCGGTGGCAGTGGCACTGCTTGAGGTGATGGCGTTGGCGGTGGTACCGGTGGTGGTGATGGTGGTGGTGATGAGGGTGGAGGTGGCGGTCGTGATGGCGGTGACCGTCACCTTTTGCTTCTAGCGAGAGGCTAGAAGCAAAAGGTGATTATAATCGTATGCCACAAAACTTACTTAATTTCACTTTTTTTTTATTCTGCACGATAATGACGTTCGCTAACCAAGATGTTTGTAATTTAACTTATTTAAGAAGTGGTTTTTTGGTTAAATCCCCTTAGTTATAGGATGTGATTTGCTCTGGCGCCGTTAAAGGTAATGTTTTCTTAAGTGATCGTCGTAGAAACGATCCTTTCCGCTGAAACCTTAAGGAAGAACTTAAGAACGTATATCTTATTTATAGACCATTACCCTTTACTTTCCGCTAATCAAAACCAACAAGCTTATTGGTTGCTTTCACACTCCTCATTTTTTTACTTAAAACACCTATCATCCCATTGCACAGTTCTAGTGCCGGAAAATACGTAACTTCTGCTCTGACATAACCTTGACTGCCTCCTAATTGATAACTAATTGGTGCTTTCTCTATCATGTCTATATCATTATGGTTCGCACGAAGTATTAGAAGTTTCTGTATACTTATTGGCAAAGTAAGAGGGCCAGATGGAAAACATCATCTCTTTTCACTGTTCTTCGTTGAGCAGCACTGCATAATACATAATACTACATAATATATACTTTCAAACAGGGGAGATTAGAATTTTTAATCCTAGATCAGTGTCACCCGCCTTTCGAACAGGTAGGATCCCTGGGGTTTTGTGTATCCCATGATTTTTTTTTATTCTTAAGAATATTCTCCTTTGAAACTTTTCCTATAATTTGTCGCGAAAACATAAGAAATATTCGAATGAATATATATTTCATTAAGGCTACGCCGAGAAAATTGAAAATTTTTTTTGTTTGCTTCCAGCGCTCCTAGTGCGTGTGACCACTTCTAAATTAAAATTAAGTCGCCACTGTTGGTTGTGTTTCTTAATTTTCCTTCTCTCTGTTCTATTCGTTCAGTGTAATCTTACATTTTTTCCATAATGACTCTTGGTCAAAGCAAGATTTTAGTTTGATAAGGCCGCTCTACAGATATTCCAAACGGTTACCTCAAGCATTCTACTTGTCACTTCATTTGCGGTTCGACCCCTTTGAGATTTTTGCAAACTTAAACCTTTATGTTGCGTAATATCAACGTATGGGAAAATTTTATTGCTTTTATTAAATAAAAGGTTGCACTTTCCTTTTCCTAGCTGAGGAATAAGTTTGGATGAGAAAGTGGAATTATTGCTATTTAAACTTAGAACAATAAAACCTTGAGCCACTCGCGCGGTGGAATTCATTCCAATGCATCTGATAATTCTTTAATCCATCGAAAGACCTTACAATATGAAAGAAGATTTTAAAACTTGGAACGTCGCAAATCCGTTTTGTAGGCGTTAATAAAAGTTAAATTTTCCGTGGGAAGGGTAATTGGATTCCGATAAAATTCAATTTTATCGCGCGATAAATGGGAAACTTGCTAGGTCGTACGTAATCGGCTGTCACGCCCGTTGTTTCAATGGACGACAATGGCTGCAACAGTTGAGGAGGTATGTTTTGGAGACAATAGTTTCTTTTATTTCGTGAAAACATCACTGAGTATTCCTTTGCAATACTTCTATGACACACAGCTCGGTGAATCAATACAGTAAACCTTGATTTTGCGAAATCTTACAAGACACTCTCAGAGATGACTGTCAGTGTCTGAGAGCAAGTGGGGATTATCTAATCTTTCTGACTACCATTGCAGGTTTTTAAATTTCTAAATGTCACTTCTGTATCCCCAACCCCATTAAGAAAGTACTTTTCCAACTATTGCAGCCATTGTTGTCTCTTTTGGAAACAAGGTGCGTGACAGCCGATCACATGCGACCTTACAAGTTTCCCATTTATCGCGCAATAATTTTTCATTTTTAATTTCCATTTATCGCGCCATATTTTGATTTTATCGCGCGATGTATCTCATTTATCATCTTTGTCAATAATTACTACTTATCGTTAAGATAATGATGTCAAGGGTTGCAGGTCAACTTTGCACTCTATCAATACCACCTGCTGTTGCAGTTGGTGAAAAATCTGAACTGGTATGTTTCTTACCTCTTTTGTAGTTTTTCGAATTCTGATAAAGATTTTTCAATGATGCAAGATGAAGAAAAGAATAAGAGAATCCTGGAAACATGAGATCTCATGCATGGACTCCGGGTGGGTTAACGGGAACCAGCTGCTCGTAAAGACAAATAGTTTCCCAGGAACAGAGTAGGAATTTCAGACTTCCCAAAAATACCATTAAACTCCAAATATTTCGAGTGATTCACAATATTGCGACCGAAACTTGACACACAGGTAGTTAAAAGGCTAGGAAAGGTCAACCCAAGGGAATGAATAAAAATGGGTTGGTGAACGATGCTTAATTATTGCGTAATATGGCAAAAGCATCGCAAGGGCTCAAGTATCTGTATTAACTACTTTTGGTCCCAATTCCAAACGGATGAAAGCAAATCAACGTCTTCCTCAGCAAATTTCATTTATGAGCAAACTCTAGGGAGCGAAGTCAAAATTTTTTTATCGGGAGAACAAAATTCTGATTTCAGAAACCATTTTTTAGAAGTATGAGACACAAGACGTTGTTAACATGAGGTGTGCTTCGAAGAATAAAAAGACTGCTGCTATTAGCACCAGTTTATTTCGTTTAAGAATTGCGGCTTATTTGATTGCTACGGTCTTTCGAAACCACCGGTTGGTCCTCTTCGTTATTATGGAAGGTATTAAATTATCACTAAGGGTAGGACAGAACTGATATCCATAAGAAACACTATATCAAAATACTCATAGAAAGAACAAAACAAAACAAAGCAAAACACCCGCAAATATATTAAAATCAAAATTCTACCTGCATACTGCACTGCTTAAAAAAAGGTCTTTTTGGCATTATATGATTATGTAAAAAAAGAAAGATTCCATTTTGCTCTATTTCCTTGAATCCTGAACTAAAAATGGGAAAAAAGAAAAAAATACTGCGTAGAAAAAGATTGACTTATTTACAGACTCGTAAAGTCTCTATTCAACGAAAATAATGAACAAAAAAAACACCAAAACAAAACAAAAAACAAAAAAACAAATGAATAAAATAGTAAAATATTGAACCATTCCAACCAGCACGTTATCCAGAGTAATCAGGAAAACAGTACCCAAAGGAAGTTATACATTATATAAAACATTTATCAGCTAATTTTATTTTCTCTTATTCTGAACTGAAAAAGGGAAAAAGATAAAAATATAATGATTCCCTTATTTACAGACTCGTGATAACAAATCCCCTCGACTTCAACTCGAGGATTATTCAACGCAATTCACTGAGACTGAGACTTGTAATTGTTAAATAGTAGATGGGCATAAATCATTTGGCACTACAAGCTACGTGTGCCTGAAATTAGACAACGATAAATGTAAACGCTCACACATTGTTATGAGGGTGTATCACGACATACCTTTATAATATTCAACAGCCCTGCAGGGGGAAAAATTCGAAATGAAAAGATGATTTCTCCCATATTCCTGGTAAGTCCAGGATTATATTTTTCCCACGTGAAAAAGAAGTATTTGCTTAGACTGTCTCCCTAGAACAAGATCAAAATTGATCCCAATAAGAAATCCTCTGTTTGCTATTCTGAAATGCGTGAGAAAGCTTAAATGTGTCGTGCCATTCAGGAAAAAAACGTAACACATCTTTATTCATCTTTTCTTTCTGCTTAACAAAAACATTTACATCATTAAAAATTAAAGGAATACTTCCTTGGTCATAAAGCGTTGGTGTTACCATGTCGACACAGAGTCTTACATGTATTCATGCACGGTTAGGTGATGAACGTTTGTCAGAGATGATACAGCCATTAAAAACGCGGTTTCTCAGGTATGAGCGAATGGAGCTTCTGTACAGGCGAAATGTCTAGAATGAAGCTTTTCCTGTATCTGTTTGCCCTATTAGGAGGTTGCTCTCACATCCTCGCGACTGCAAACCAAGGTAGGTACAGTTCGGTATTTCTGAAAGGTAAATAATAATTATAATAAAATACATTGTTTGATTGTTTTTACATTTGAGGTTTCAAAAATTACTGTAAGGTAATAATGGTCGACCTCAGTTTTTCCGAAGTCTCAGTCATAAAACTTCACGAGCTATTTTACTGTGTTACTCTCAAATACAAATCACACAGTTTCTCGCTTTCTTTCTTTCGTTTGTTTGTTTGTTTTTCTCTGAAAGACTTGATTTCATCATCATTAACAAGAAAATCTTTCATTTGAAAAGCCTAGCTGGCAGGATCGTGATAACCAAACCTCACCTGATGGTTAAAAACAAAATTTTTTAAACATTTTTTTCAAACAAAGTCTAGCCTATGAGTTGTCTTCTACTCCAATACAGACGTGCACAAAAAGTAAAAGAAGGAGACTCTGTAAGCAGTATATATTTAATTTTTTTTAAACTCTTTTCACTCTCAATATTTTAATTTCTTGTTAAAACCTTTATCTTTTAAGGGAAATAAAAAACTTCAGGCGTATAATAGATGAAAAAATTTCCTTAAAAAAGTAATCTGGAAATTTTCGTGTTGTCTTGGTGTTTCCAACAAGAAGCCCAGGACAAGTTCTCTTCGAGCTTTCATCTAAGGTTCATTAGCTAAAGCTGGTCCATGTCGAGGTTGTAAAGCTCGTTGAAAGGACATGTTTTATAATTTTCAGAAATCTGCAGACGTGTCACGTTTTCAGAACCAAGCGATGGCTTTTCTTTGGTGGGTCATGTCTTTGCCAATATTACGTTATTTATTGGACCACGCATGAATAACCACTGCAAAAATCGATGTATCATGGAACAGAGATGTCGATCGATCAACATAGGCCAAGTAAGGAAAGACGAGGTCCTGTGTCAGCTGAGTGACTCGGACCAATCAAAACATCCGAAAGATATAAAACCTATGGATGACTTTCTATACTTGGGTATTGAGGTAAGAAGTCTTACCCAGTCGCTCACAAATCTAATACAAATGTCAAGTTCAGGATATTGTATGACATCAAATTCATATTCATAGAAGGACGTGAGACGTATGTCCAAAAGTGCAAAGAGATTTATGTTCAGAAATTGGAGAGGCAAGCCAAGACAAAAGAAAGTTGAAAGACTAAATACCTCACATATATTACTCTCCTGCGTAGATGTTTTTCCTGAGGATTAACGTTAGTTAATATTCATTTGGAAATTGTTTGAACTTTTGACGGGAGATTAATAGACGCCTCCTGTGCACGTGATTGAAATACAAGTCTCGATGGGAAACGATCGAAACAGTTCTTTTAGAGGCATTCGTTATACTCAGTAAATATATAGAGAGAATAATACATGGCGCGCGTAGATATAGAATTTCTCTCCGGCTGTTTATCTTGATAGCTCACGAGTGAGCGCAGCGAACGAGTGAGATGTTTACTTTGTATTGTTGCGCCTTCTCTCAGGGCTGGAAATCCTTGTATAACACCGTAGTTCGTATGATAATACAAAATAACCGATGGGGTCATGGTGTTGGTCGTATAACAAATGCGAAAAAAAAAGAACAAAAAAACCTATGAAATAATAAACTTTGACAAATCCTAACACTCAAAAGGAAGAATGAGTACTGTAAGTATACAAAGTTCCATCTTACAACTTACGTCATGTCTCTCATGGAAATTAACATTAAGAAAAAAAAAGGAAAAAAAAGGGAAAACATACGGCAAGTTTAGCTAAAGCGACGTAAAGTATCCTTGGTTTTTATCCAAACATATCAATAATGATCTATTACTAATAGTTAAACATGTTGTTTTAATCCTTAGAGTAATTGTGATATGGCGAAACAATGCAAGGAAGGTAAGCTCACTAACATAGCTGAGGAAAATTTTCAACTAGCCTCGTTCAGCCAGAGTATTTCAAAATATTAGAGGCTGGCACAGCTCAAGAGAAAATCAGATGCTGGCTGTTTTTCGAAATCAGCAACGTTGTAGTAAGATGTTAATACCTTAAAAAGACGGTTCTTCATCTAAGAGTGTGAATTAAAGAAATAACGAGGACAGACTTCTTGTTATAGCTTATTTTTAACACATGACGACATTTATCTCTGTTTAGCGACAGTAGAACCTACTCGTCTAGATGCTCTTAATCGCCGCAGCTCTCAAGTCAGAGGCGTTACCAATGGCAACGAAAGTGTCAATGCCAGTGCCAGTGACGGTGGCGGTGGCGGTGGCGGTGGCGGTGGCGGTGGCGGTGGCGGTGCCGGTGCCGGTGCCGGTGCCGGTGCCAGTGTCAGTGCCGGCGCTGGTGTCGGTGCTGGTGGCTGGAGGTGGCGGTGGCGGTGGCGGTGGCGGCTTTTCCGACTTTTTCCGATATTCAATTCGGTAACCTCTGCTGTAACTGCATACAATGTGGGTGTCTAAGAAAACTTGAGATAGTACCTGGATTTCATTTTTACAGCACAGAAATCAATTTCAAACGTCAATCAAGTCTTCAGTCTTTAGTTTAAAAGATGAGTTAATGTTGTAATTGGCTATATTAAATAGGTCGAAAAGTTTTAAATGGCATTTTCTCATGTCTGCAAATAATTGAATTCAATGGAAGGTGGAGCTGTTGCAACATGTTAACATGAAACGCCGCAGTAAATGTTATTGATATGTAAACAGTTTTCATTTGACTATCTACTGGCAAGTCTTTGTATTATATTTCAACTCAAGCATTTTTCACAACTCGTGAAAATCATTACAAAATAATTTGTCAGTTTAAATGCCATGTCCATAATAAGCTCACAGGATTGAGGAAGGTGTATGTGGAAATAGGCTCTCTTGTCTGTATCATTAATTTGCTAATCACTCCTGTTGGCAATGTTTTGATGGGTTGGGATGAGCAAAGGGGGATTTTAATAGGAGGTGACTTATTAAAACCTGGAAACTATCTTCCTGAAAGCCATACTTGTGCCTGATAACTCATTCTTATTCTGATAAACTAGTTTTGAGAAGGATGCAATATTTTATTACATAAATTTGATGTGCACAAAACTTAAATTTGACCACACTTTTATAGCCAGTAACAATCCCTACACATGATAAACTACTAGTTGGATCAGAGGAAAAAATAACGTGCCGAACATTTGTAAGATTTCATGTAATTATTTTAATTAGATGAATATTAACTGATAGTAGGAGATCTAAGAATATTCAAAAGAATGTAAAATTTGGTTGAAAAATTATAATTCAGCATAGGCCAAATAATCAAGATTCTTAGATAAAGAAATGTGTACTAATGAAAAAGCTATAGGCAAACTTTTTTACAACACCTGCCCGTAACTGTACAACATGTAGTTAAGTCATTTGAAGTAGTCATAATCCCGGTCGGTTTTTTATACGTTGAAAACACACGCACATGCAGATTCCTTATAAACTTGTAGGTCAAGCCTGCGATGTCCTCGAAATTTTTATGCTCACCTCAAAAGCGTAGCAAATAGATTTAAAGTTTCTATTCATTCAGTTAAGGTTAGCGAGGTAAAATTGAGTCACACATTCTTACAACCACAGGTTCAAGAAATTTTCAAAACTAATTTATAAGGTTAGCCTACCTGGAACAATCACCTTTGTGTGCAAATTAGACTAGGTTTGTACTGATAATGCACAAAAGAACTGTCTGTGGTAAGAGGGCAGACTTTCCTTTCTTCATTTCAAGAAATACTGAGGTTATTATCTTTCCACAAGCTCAGTGGAAAGTGACAATGAATGAGACTGATATTGACTATTTTATTTGAATAAATATCCAGAGGAGGCCAAAAAGTGAGATATGGTCTGCACAACTCTCTTATTTTTATTTTTTAACCTATAAAGCTAAGGTATTTGTATTTTCGCTTTGTCCATTATGTGATAGCCAACTAGTAATTTAACTTTCATGCGTTAAAATATTAAAAATGTTCTCCTCATCTATGTGCCCTAAATATTACAGGGGAGGAGGCAGGTCAAAGTAAAAACATGAATTAAAATGGGAGGGCCTCCATTAATTTCAGAGCTAATTAAAGGAGGATCCTTGCTTTTCTAAATTCCAACCCTTTAAAACACATATATTGTGATTAATTCCTTAGACAGCAAAATTACATAATCACACAATTCCAAACAAAAAAGGCAGGTTTTTGACTCACCTGCTTCAACTTTGAGTGCTTAAGGTACAGAGAAATAGATATGGCAAACAGTTAAAATTAACACAGTGTGAAAGCTAAAAGATATACTTTACAATCATTACACCCTATGCATCCTAGAAAAGATAGGGTCAATTATATACCACCATAACTTCTCCCAAGCGTTCATGCTTACAGGAAAGCATTCATTTTTGTTATTAGGTGGTACTGTACTTTAAATATTTCTACCAACACAAATGCATTTTTCTAAAGTTACCTCATAGCATATTACTGCGTATAGGTCACGTAGAAGGTTTCTGCATGGGGACTGACATTTCAATTACCCCAGCAAGCTTTGATCATCAGAATTACAAGCCGAGGTGTATTTACCAAGGGCTGAAGTTTCCAAATTAGTCACCTGATTGTTACAGAGGAGTTCACTTCTTTTTGCGGCTATCGTCAGCTTGATCATCCTGTTACATGTGGAAACATCAAATGTTACTCACAAATTCAAATAAATACCTGAATCAAAACTTTAAATGTTTTATTAATAACCAGCTTCCTTGAATTGTGCTCTAGAAATAGAAAATGGTAATGAAGAGAAAGGAAGAAAGTTCTTGAAACATTCTAATATTAATGGTTACGGCAACCAAAACATCTGTGAAGTGATAATAACAATTAACTTTCCATGAAAACAAACCATAATGAAGCATGATATGAATAAATTTAATCTCACCCAGTTTGAATGAAGAATCCAAAATCTAATTAACTTACTGGTGAATAGGAAAAAGCTCTATGCGTTTTTACTGCTTCTGTCATTCTAAATATTACACATCAGTCACGCCACTGATAAACCCTTTAATCCCTAAGAGTGACCAGCTTCTAATTTCTTCCTGCAATATCACATCTGAATCATACATTAGGGTCATGAGAATAAAGGATATGATCACCGACTAAAGAAGCTCTTGAGTGTTAAACAAATTCTCCTTGCTGGCACCTTAGGAAACGTATGGAGAACAGTATGGAGAATATGCATAATAATCATGAGGGGACGCAAATTGTCTGCACTGTAAGTACATATCAAGCTCTGTAAGTGATTTAATCCCATTTTAATCCCATCCAATCTCACAATTTACGAAAACTTCATTATTCTTGTGAAAAATGATAGCCGTCTTATTGAAACTTGATGACAAGTATAAGCCGGCAAAGAAAACAGTGCAAAAGCAATTATCTGTCACATCGATGTCAGCAGCAACAGGATTATGACACCTTACAGTCCCCATACATTTTCTTAGACTAAAAGTCTAAGAAAATGTAGGGGACTCTCCGGGATACTTACAGTACAGACGATTTGCGTCCCCTCATGTAAAGGGTTAAGTGTGATTTTTTTTAATTTTAGTATCTATCTTTAAACCAGCTGGCATCTGAGAAGAATCAAGTCCACACTGGTAATTTGACACATTGCAGGCAAACCCTACAACTGATAAAATTTTATTTGATTAATAACATGTAGGGCAAATTAGAGGAAATTAGCTAGCACAATTCAAGTTTCCCTTCTTAATCATTCTGTGATGTTTTTCTATCATATGGTAAAGTTTAAAGTTTCCCTCATTTCACTGTCTCCTGTTCATTTGTTTGTTTGCTTTCCTAACAATCTTAACTACATTGTATTGTTGCCAACAAATGCAAGGAGAGGCATATAAATGTGTGCAGATATTAACACTTTAATCCCTGAGAGTGACCAGCATCTGATTTCTCCTTTCAATATCAGCCGTGAATCAAACATTTAGGTTATGAGAATACAGCAAATGATCATCAACTGATGAACCTCTTGATTGTTAAACAAATTCTCCTTGCCAGCACATTAGGAAATGTCTAAAGAACAGTATGAAGAATATGCATACTGATGTAGGGGTGTAAAGGACCATCCTGTAATCAGTTTTATATATGTAAAGTTTTGCTTGAATACACGATTGCGGTAAGTACAAGTGCCTTGTAAACATCATTCTATGATCTTCCACTCTTCCACCTTGGAGGGTGCCTTGTGTACTTAAAATTTGAATTTCAGTGCCTTTAGTAGCTTCAAAGTAGGGTTGTCAATTTGCTTTTCATTACTTACAAACAGCTTATTTCTATCATCTTTGAAAACTCCTCTTTCCCTGCCTTCAAAGAAAGGCATTTTCCATGAAAATTTAAACATTAAAGACAAGCTACCAACAACAGGTTTTTCCATTGTAAGACACGTTTCATAACATTACTTTCTCATCACACTTTTATGTTACATTGGAGAGCATAATGATATTTTAATTATTACAATATAATGAAATCCTCAATTTTAACCCTAAAAAGTACCACTAGTGACCACTAGACAGAATTTCTCCTCACACTATCAATATGATATCAAGCAGACATTAGTAATAAAGAAAAATATCATTCAGGGGATTATTAGTTGATTCTATTCCAAATTATCTCCTCCAGAGTCACAAACCGGGCTTTTGGGGCCACAAAATAATAAAATAATCAACGAGTTATGCCAGGCCAATTTATCGAGAGTCAATTAAGTATAGTTTCCTAAAATCGTATGGAAAGTTTAAAATGTGCTTCACTTGTGCTACATATACGGATTTATCGTTCTTAATTACTGATGAAATTTCGAGAGTGTGACTCAGTTAATACAGAAGAAAATGTCTAAGCAGGTTACAGAAATGGTTCACGAATCGTAAACTGATTACGTGTTGACAAAACTCCCCAAAATCATGGTGCTGATACGAATTTATCGTTCATAATTACTAATGAAATTCCTAGATTGTACCTTAGTGAATTCAGTAGAAAATATCCAGGAGGGTTACAGAAACGGAGTCTCAAAAAATCGAATTCGACAACTGTAAACAACAATTATTTACGCTAACCATGTGCTTATCAGCGTGCTTGTGAGCTCAGATTGCTAGGACCCCGTTTAACTACACGAACACAGCTCGGACGCTTCTCGCAAAATGTGATGGCTATCAATTTCAGAGACTGATTCTTCAGTTTCTAACCTTAGAAAAAAATTATCGTATCGCAAACATGTTAATCATAACCGGAGCATTAAGTGCGCCTCGAGATGCCGAGCGAAGAGAAAGTGGCTCCATGTTTTGTTAAACAAACCATTTATTGAAGTTCGAACGAATCGAGTAGAAAGCATGAAAACATAGCGCTGAAAAGTACCAAACAATGGGCCTTAGCGTAGGAGAAAATCCAGATAAGACACGACTTACCTCCTCTTCCTTTTTGGATCCTTTGTGGTTCGCTTCTCTTTGTTGATGACCCTTTTTCAGTCTGTTTTCTGGAGCTCTTTGTATTTCCTTCTCACGTTGCCCTTCGTTAGATATTCGCCTCTTTACTTATGCCTTTTCTTGTTCTCTTTTGCGTTCCTCTCGCTGTATTCAGCCTGTTTTAGCGACCTTTCTAACTTTCTTTCGCGTTTTTCTCGGCTCACTTGACGCCTTTTACTCCTCGCCTTCTTTGGTCGCTCTGTCTCTTTCTTTCCAGCCTATTTTCACTCAAACCCCTTTCTCCACGAACTTGAATTAAAACAATTTCCTCCGGATGACAAAGCTTTAGCTCTGCCGGTATTGTTGCTTTGAAAGTTGATTAAAAATAGCAAAATACCGAGAATTACTTTTCAACTACAACCTCACCAATTTGATTTCCCGCTTAAAACGCGTGGGCAAATTATTTGCTCACGCGGCCTCATATTTACCACTCCACGTGAACCCCTTGTGTAATGCCTGACCCGCCGTACGCTGCACTGAAGCTCAGCACTCTAGTATGCGCATTTCATTCTGATCTGCCAATGTCTCCTGGCAGTAATGGGGTATCCAAGTTACGCACGCAATCGCCCCTGCGCATTACCTTCTCCTTCGCCCGTCCATTACGTAATGGCTGGGATTGTGCCCGCAATGCAGTTAGCTGCGCATACTAAAAGTAGCACCTTGCACCGACACCCGTACGGTGTCAAGTTCAATTTTTTTCGGCTTGACGGGTTACTACTATTTTGCTTAGTTATGGGGCTACGCGAGCGCCGCGAGCTCCGCTATTTTTACTGTTATGATTATTACTAAATGTAGCAAGACTCAGAAACATAATCTTGTTTGCAGTTTGGCCGAAGAGCATGTGACATTTCTGTGGCAAGATTTTGATTAAAGCCTCGATGTCAGTTTTCACTGTCTTGCGCCTCCAGATTAGACTTTTCCGCGGTCACCTGAGTTTAAACTGATACGCGGGCGACAACTTCTTTAAAAGACCAACTCAAGCCTAGGCGCTCCTTACGAACATTTTCCTGGCTCTAAGAAAGGAAAGTCCAAGTTTAGCGCATTAGGACTTCAAGAACTGGCATGTAAAAACGCAACGTGAAAAGGATGGCATTTTCAACTTACCTACCATATTTTATGAAGAAAATCTCGAATTTTTACATAATTTTTAATCGTAATATTAAGAAATTATATGAATTACGATTCTAGCTTTACTATCTACGTGGTGTTGATAAAATACTTTTGCTCCCGCAATTAAAACAGTTTAATCCCTGCTTAATCTGTTTACAAAAGCGTAGTCATATATTTATTTAGTCTGGAGAAAATTCAGCATTAATGGAGTACCATCTTTAGACACTAACAAAATTTTCTTCATTATCACCTGGCGGGACTTTGAGGACCGAATCCATATCTTAGTTTTTGAGGTTTCTGGCGTTCTGTCCTTAATCGAGTCGATCTTACTGCTTACAAGAATAACAATTATTTCTAACTCCAAGTTAAGGACAATAAGTGTCAGTCCTAGAAGAGAAATGTATTCGTAAAATATAAATTTTGAAATTGAAAGCTCAACTTCGGTTTTGCAAGCCTTAAATTCGTATGACATTTCTCACGATCCTTATTTGCAGTCTGTGGGAAATTAAGGAAAAACCTCTTGATTAAAGCGGGAGGCTAGAGGCAAAAGGTGATTATTGTCGTATGTCACAAAACTTGCTTAATTTAATTTTTTTTTTTAATTCTGCAAGACAATGACGCGCGCAAACCAAGATGTTTGTAACATAACTTATTTAAGATGTGGTTTTTGGTATAATCCCCCTTGTTATAGGATATGATTTGCTCTGGCGCTGCTAAAGGTAATGCTTTTTTGTTAGTGATCGTCGTAGAAACGTTCCTTTGGGCTGAAACTTGAAGGAAGAACTTCGTGAGAATATTCTCCATTAAAACTTTTTCTTATTATTTGTCACGAAAACTCAAGCAATATTCGACTGAATATATCTTTCATTAAGGCTACGAAGAGAAAATTGAGATTACGACAAAGAAATTAAGGATTATGGTCGTCCAATCAAAGAAATTGAGGAACTGAGGAGATATTTATGGATCATGATCAAGGCAAGTGAAAACTAAAAGGAAACTTGGTTTTTTTTGTTTGTTAATTAGCGAAAAATTCGATGCTTCTGGCGCTCCTTTTGGTCACACACACTTTTAAATTGAAAATAGGTCGTCATTATTGGTTGTATTCCTTAATTTTCCTTCTCTCTGTTCTATTCGTTTGGTGTAATCTTACATTTCTTTTCCATAATGATTGCTGGTCGAAGCCAGGTTTTAGTCTGATAAGGCCGCTCTACAGATATTCTTAATTAACGATTAATTATTAATTATTATTCAAGCTTTGTACTTTTCACTTCATTTGCGGTTCGACCCCTTTGAGATTTTTGCAAAGTTAAGCCTATGTTGAGTATTATCAACGTATGGGATAATTTTATTGCTTTTATGAAATAAAAGGTTGCACCATCCATTTCCTAGCTGAGGATAAGTTTGGATGAGAAAGTGGAATTATTATTATTTAAACTTAGAACAATAAAACCCTGAGCCATTCACGCGGTGGAATTCATTCCAATGCATCTGACGATCCTTTAATCCATCAAAAGACTTTACAATATGAAAGTATTTTAAAACTTGGAACGGTGCAAATTCGTTTTGTAGGCGTCAATAAAGGTTAAATTTTCTGTAGGAAGGGTAATTGGATTCCGATAAAATTCAATTTTATCACGCGATAAATGGGAAACTTGTCAGGTCGCACATGATCGGCTGTCACGCGCGTTGTTTCAATGGACGACAATGGCTGCAACAGTTGAGGAGGTATGTTTTGGAGACAATAGTCTCTTTTATTTTTTGTGCAAATATCACTGAGTATTCCTTTGCAATACTTCTACGACACAGCTCGGTGAATCAGTGCAGTAAACCTTGATTTTGCGAAATCTTACGAGACACTTTCAGGGATGGCTGTCATGGTCTGAGAACAAGTGTGAATTATCTAATCTTTCTGATTACAGTGCAGGTTTGTAAATTTCTATATGTCACTTCTGTATCGCCAACCCCGTTGAGAAATACTTTCCAAATGTTAAAGCCACTGTCGTCTTTTTCAGAAATGACGTGCGTGACAGCCGATCACTTGCGACCTTACAAGTTTCCCATTTATCGCGCGATAATTTTCCATTTATAACTTCCATTTATTGAGCCATATTTTGATTTTATCGCGCGACATATCTCATTTATCATCTTTGTCAATGATTACTACTTATCGTTAAGATAATGATGTCAAGAGTTGTAGGTCAACTTTGCACTCCTTCAATACCACCTGCTGTTGCAGTCGGTCAAAAATCTGAACTGGTATGTTTCTTACCTTTGGGAATCATAAATGACAGTTTCGTAGTTTTGTGAATTCTGATAGAGATTTTTTAATGATGTAAGATAAAGAAAAGAGAATCCTGGAGTCATGTGATCTCACGCATGGACCCCGGGTGGGTTAACCTGGTGAAAGTAGTAATCTGGAAATATTCGTCTCCTCTTGGCGTTTCCAACAAGAAGCCCTGGACAAGTTCTCTTCGAGCATTCATCTAAGGTTCATTAGCTAAAGCTGGTTTCTGTCGTGATTGTAAAGCTCATCGAAAGGATATGTTTTATAATTTTCAGAAATCTGCAGACGTGTCAAGTTTTCAGAACCAAGGAATGGCTTTGCTTTGGTGGGTCATGTCTTTGCGAATATTACGTTATTGAGTAACTCAGACCAATTAAAACATTCGAAAGATCTGAAACCCATGGATGACTTTCTGTACTTGGGTATCAAGATAAGAAGTCTTCCCAGTCGCTGAAACTGAGATAGCAAAAACCGGAAAATGTAAAAAAAAAAAACAAAACAAACGTATAGCAGGTTTAGCTACAACGATATCAAGTTCCCGTGACGGTGGTGGCATTAGCAGTGGCAGTGGCAATAGCACTGGCAGTGGCATTAGCAGTGGGAGTGTCAGTAAAAGTGACAGTAGTGGTGAAAGTGACAAAAGCAGTATGAGTGGCAGTAATAGTAGCATTAGCATTAATGGTAGTAGTGGAAGAGGCGATGGCGATGGTGGTGGCGGCCGTGGTGGTGGCGGTGGTGGCGGTGGTGGCGGCGGCGGCGGTGGCGGTGGAAGCGGTCCTTACAAACTATGAGCTACCATGCATTTCAGTCACTGTAAAGCGCTATTGGATAGCGATAAAAATAACGCTGTATAAATAAAGTATTGTTATTATTATAATAATGACTAAATATCAATAAGACTCATTAACCTAAACGTGTTTGCAGCTTGGCCAAAGAGCATGTGGCATTTCTGCAGCAAGATTGTGATCAAAGATTCGTTGTCAGTTTTCACTGTCTTGTTTCATTTTTTTCATTTCATTTCATTTAACAGCTTTATTGGGTACGTCTACAAGCTCAAAATGAGTACATATACAAGGAAAGAGACAAAAAAATGGATAGACATACGCCAAAAGGGTCAGTGCGAACGGGACATGGAGTCCCATGCGGGGCACTACCCTTAATAAAAACGAAAAAAAAAAAAATGAAAAATGTAAAAACTTACAGTGAAAAAATGCTAGATAACTAAAAATCAATGACAGGGACACGACCTAACAATTGACCACGTGCACGGACTATTAACATCAAAAACTGAACGGACAAGAGAGAACATGTGTTTTTCTACAAAAGTTTGAAAGGCGGTCGGGTTAGAAAACTTGGACGGGGGTGATAAGGTACAGACGTAGTTCCAGAGTTTAACAATTCGGTTGAAATAGGAGGCCTGAAAGGTACTTGTTTTACATGAAGGTGTTGTGAGATTGAAGGAATTACTTCGTCTTGTGCGGCCGTGAGAAATAAAAGAAATAAAGTTAAGGATGTTTAGATCCGTGTAGTTATTCAGACATTTATAAAGAAACACAAGGTCCTTAAGTTCGCGGTCGTAGGCGAGAGGGAGCAAATTCAGCTTGATAAGCCGGTCTCGGTAGCTCATTTCCCCAATTCTGGTGCCTAGAATCCATCTTGTTGCACGTCTTTGTACTCTTTCAAGCTGACTTTTGAGACTGAATTGGGCTGGGGACCACACTTGCGTTGCATAGCACAGTTGTGACTTTACCAAAGCCAGATAGAGGGACCGCCTGACTGAAACATCGGTCAGAAAAGGGCATGTACGCTTTAGAAGCCCAAGTAGCTTGTTGGCTTTTGCGATGATGGTATGGACATGTGAATCCCATGAGAGGGAGCTAGTCACAGTAACTCCGACATCCTTCTCACTTGTGACCCGCTCAAGTTGTACATGATTGAGTTTGTAGCCGTAGATAATTGGGCTTTTTTTGCGAGTTACTGAGAGGACTTTGCATTTTGATGATTTAAAGCGAATGTTATTTCGCATGGCCCATGCGTTCATGTTGGTTAAAGTGTTCTGCAAAGATATGCAGTCCTCAACACCTTTGATGCTGCGATATGCCTTGGTGTCGTCGGCATATAATGCGGCCATCGCACCTCCAAGATTGTGCCTCCTGATTAGACGTTTTCGCGGTCACCCTGGGTTTAAATTGTTGAGCGAGCGGCAACTTCTTTCAAAGACCAACTCATAGCCTAGGTACTCCTAAGGAACGTTTTTCTGGCTCTAAAGCGCATTGATAGGTCCAAGTTTATCGCATGGGGACTTCAAGAACTGAAAACGCAATGTGAAAGGGATGGCATTTTTAACTTATCTTTTTTATTTTATGCAGAAAACCTTGAATTTTTACATAATTGTCAACCATAACGTTAAGAAATTACATGAATTACCATTCTAGCTCTTCTATCTACGTGGCGTCGATGAAATACCTGGCTCCCGCCATTAAAACAGTTTACTCCTTATTTAGTCTGTTTTCAAAACCGTGGTCATTTTTTTGAGTCTGGAGAAAGTTCAGTATCAATGAATTACCATCTTTGGATATTAACAAGATTTTCTTTTTTATCGCTCTGGCGGAACTTTTTGGACCGAATCCATGTCTTAGTTTTTAAGGTTTCTGGCGCTCCGTCATTAATCGTACCAATCCTACTGCTTACAAGAATAAAACCTATTTCTAACCCCAAGTTATAGACAATAGGTGTTAGTCCTACATGAGAAATATGTTGGTAAAATACAACAATTCTCTTAATTGAAATTTCCGCGGCTCTGATGGTTAAACAACACATATAAGTTCAACTTCGGTTTTGCAAACCTTTTGCATAACATTTCTCATGAACCTTATTTGTAGTCTGTGGGAAATCAGAAACAAAAAATTCTTGTTTAAAGCGGTCGGCCGGAAGCAAATATGATTTTTGTCGTATGCCACATACCTGACTTAATTTCACTCATTTCATTTTGCAAGATAATGACATTCCCTAATCAAAATTTTTGTGTCATAAATTATGCAAGATGTGGTTTTTGGTCTAATCCCCTAGTAATAGAATGTGATTTTCTTTGGCTCTGCTGAAAGGCAAGGTTTTTTTTCTATTAATGATTGTCGTAGAAACGTTCCTTACAGCTGAAGCTTTAAGAAATAACTCACTGAAGGTATTCTCCAGTGACACTCTTCCTATTATTTGGCGTTAAAATGTAAATAACATTCTACTGAAGATATTTTTTATCGAGGCTACGACGGGAAAATTGAGACTACGACGAGGAAATTAAGGATAATGGTCGTCCAATCAAATAAATTGAGGAGCTGAGGAGATATTTATGGATAAGAATCTAGGTAAGTAAAATCAATGAAAGAAATTGATTATTTTGTTTGTTAATAAGCAAAGGAATCGAAGCTTTTCGCGCTCCTTCATAAACAATTCAAATACAGACACTTCTAGATTGAATAGGCTGTGAGTTTTAGTTTTCGCTCTCTTTGTTCTAGTCGTTCAAGGTAATCTTATATTTTTTTCTATAATGATTGCTGGTCAAAGCCAGATCTCAGTTTGATAATGCCGCCCTACAGATACTCTAAACGGTTGTACTTTGTACTTTTCATTGCACTTGCGGTTCGACTCCTTTGAGATTTTTTGTAAAACTAAAGCTTTTCGTTGCGTGGCATCAACGTATGGGGAAATTTTATTGCTTATATGCAATAAAAGGTTGCACTGTCCTTTTCCTAGCTGAGAATAAGTTTGGATGAGCAAGTGGAATTACTGTCATTTAAAAGAAAAGCAATAAAACCGTGAGCCATTCGCGTGGTGAAATTCATTCCAATCATCTGTGAATCCTTTAATCCATCGAAAGACCTTACAGGATGAGAGAAGATTTTAAAACTTGGCAGAGTGCAAATTCATTTTCTGGGCGTAAAAAGGTTAAATTTTCCGTAATTAGAAAGAAAGATAATAATTGTGTTAAATGATAACTATGAAGACGAATAAAAACAAAAACTAACAGACAAAAAAGAGAAAAAAAGCCTCGGTTGTTCAATAGGTTGTGGGCGCTATCCGCTAGATAAATCTCTATCAAATGGATAATGGAGTACGTTTTGCTATAACTTTTTTGCTGGATGGCGATTTATCCGTTGGAGTTTTGTATAACTGGGCCCAGATCTTTTAATTCCTAGAAATGCTTTTTCAAATTGTTAAACAGTTTTGTTCCTTAAGCGATCGAAAATTCTAAAGTGTTTAAGGAAAGGATTACCACCATCAATGTGATGCTGGTGAGATTTCATGTGTGACAATACATGAGCCAGCCGAAGGACTCTTTAAAACGTTCTTATAGCAGGGATAAATGATTCGATGATTTTCAAATTGGCATTCTTTGAACAACATCTATTTTTTCCCCTTTTTCATAACGAAATAAACTATATACAGAACGGACCGAGCTTCAGTGAAGCTCGTAAGATCCAAACCTTGCTTGCCTGGTATCAAAGCTGGTAAATTAAAGTTGGCATATATAGGAAGAAAATTACTGTATCTTGTTACTTAAAAGATAATTAACCGTATATTTACCAATGTATCGGTATTACCGATGTATCTACATCATATTCTATTTGGCGTTAGGAAAAATTACAGCGGAACGTCCTGGTCAATTCTAAAGCCCATAAATTTGTCATTGTATCTTAGCCTTTTGAAAATTACGGCGAACACGTTCTTTATCACTGATACTTTGAGTATTGTCTTGTTTTCCATGGGAGTAAAACAGTCTCATTTACTTCTCATCCATTTACCTCAAAGGGGGTTTTAACGACGAAATCTTATTGAACAGGATCTCAATCTCTTGCATGAGATGAGCCCCTGAAAAAAAACGTTATATGGAAAGCAGAAAAAGAGGTGTTATTAATACATCGGATAAATGCAGTATTGAGTGTAAATACTGATTTATTTTGGCTTATATTTGATTGTCTACTTGCTTTTCTTCTTGAAAGGACAGCGATTGAGGAAAAAAATACTTCACTTCGAAACTCTGCCCTTTTTGTTTTATTGATGTCAGTTTTGTTCAAATATATTTACTTGCTCTTATATCTGTTGTTGCTGTTTTTATTGGTGTTTTTTTTGTGTCGCTGTTGTTTTTTGTTTTGTTTTGTGCCTTTTTTGTATGGAATATATTTTTCATTGTTTTCCTCTAATCACCAAGGCTTAACAACGGGATTACAATGTGTTACTAGGACATCGACTGAAAGAATTTAGCTCCATGGATTACACTCTTGCTGTACTTAACCTTGAAAATTCTGCACTTTTTGCCCTCTCGAATTCAGTCTTGTTTACGTTTGTCTTATTTTTATTTCCATTGTTGTTGCTGGTGTTATTGTTGTTTAGTGTGTCGTTGTCATTTTTTTTTATTTATTTTTTTATCATAATAGGACCCTCACTGACATGAAGACTTCCATGCAAATCAGGAAACAAACACTCACGTTACTTTTGGTAAGCAAGGTGGTAACGGAACTTCGATAACTTATACGAATTACGAGCATAACTGAGACGAGGTAATCAGCGCATTAAAATATATTATTTTAATCTTTTCTTAGCATCGTTGAATATGGCTACGAATTAAGAACAGATTCCACCTTTCACATTCTCATTTAACTTTAACGTGGCATGGAAAGTTTATATAGAGTTCCGATTATTTTTTAAAATAGACCATGCACCTATTTAACACAATCCAGCAATTGCGCAATAAAAATGCACAAGTGCTCCGAAAGAATCCCGAAAAAAAATGCAA